TAAGTGATCTTAAAGTATAGGGAAGCCGTAAATGGGATGTTAAAAAAGAAAATATTTTCTTTAATAGAAAAACTCGTTGGAGTGGAATACTATGAAGAAAGTAATCATGCAGTAGCGGATTACGGTACCTTGAAAATGTTGAAAATTACTTTAATTAATTAAATTAATTTTTCAACATACAGTGATAGACCCGGGGGATGAACCAAGTAAAGAAAAAAGCTAGGTTCAGTATGTAGGAGACAACAGTTCACAGATAAGGTAATACTTAAAAATGTTAACGTATCTGCAAACAAAAGGAACTTCTTATTTTTTGCAAAATTCCCTTTAATGAGATTAAGAAAATATAGAGGACAACGGTGGCCCCCTTGGGGACGCCTGAGAAAATAGTAAAAGAAACCAAACTGTGCGCTTTAGTACCTTGTGATTTTTTAAAAATGAAAGATGTAATTCAAGCGAGGGAGTTACTAATGCTATGATTCAAGTATAGAATTGTATCTGCCAAGTTACAAGTATTCTTAAAGTTAAACGTCTTGACAATAATAATTGTTATGTTTATAAATTATAACTTTATTTTGTAGTGAAATTGTAAAAGTTGATGTACACCATTCAAAATATTACTTTAATATTATAATAGTCGTTGTATGTCATCAAGTCTCCCCAAATAAATAAAACTTTGTAAATGCTTAATATTTTATTCAAGCGAGCGGGTTTCCCAATGCCAATTGGTGTAGAGTAAAATGGTCAATGAAACGTTACTAATAATATGTTACAAGTATGGATTTTGTCTGTCAAGTCACAAGTCTTCGTAAACTTATAACGTCTCGACATCCAATTATTGTTAAGTTTATAATTGTGTTTTGTGGTGGAATGTTAATAATTGATATACACCATTCAAAATAGTACTTTAATACAATAGCCGTTCTATGTTATTAAGTATCCCCAAACAAATTTTACATTATTGTAATTACTGTATAAACAAAAAATTTACTTTATGGTCAATATTATGCAAACAAAAAAAATATATAAAGTAAATTTTTGCTATTAAAACAAGCAATAAGTTTTATTTACCACTAACGAATAACTTTTTAATTACTTTGGTTTTCATTCTCAGGCGGAGCACAATCTGTAACAAAAAAAAATTAAATTATATAGTTAATCAAACCCGGTTTGTATTTATTGTTTTGGTATTTTTTATAGTTTAAATTAATCAATGCTAAAAAAGATTGAACTTAGATATTGCCGCTATTGCTCCCCCCCCCCCCCTCAAGAAATAAAATTAAATGTATGGGTAATACTGTAAAATAAAAAAATTAAAGTATCTCTAAAAAAACACCACAAATTATCAATATAATTATTAAAAAATGTATTGAATTATTCATAAATAATCATGCTGCAATAAAAAGTAACATTTTTAAAACTGTTAATTTATATTTACCTATCATTTTAAAACTTTGAATAATACACATTTTCGCCTTTTCGCCAAGTTGGGGGAATTTTGAAGTTTCTTTTTCTGCATAAAATTATATATAGGCTGGTTAAAATTACAATATTTAAAATTATATTCGTATTTATGTTTTATTTTGATATTAAAAGTCTTTATACGCATTTATTACACAAATAACGCATACAAAGTACAATATATGAAGAAAAATACGCAATATAATAAGAAGTATAATACAAAGATAGAACATATATAAAAAGTAACTTTATACAAAACATAAAATTACAATAAAAATAACTTGAGTTAAAAATAAGTATAAACAAGAAAAATTGACACTATGCAATTTGCTACGAATCGAATTCATTGGTAGAGACCAAAAGAAAATGTGATAGTAATAACACTATTTTGTTATTCATTTTATGTTTTGTGTTATCTCTCATATATGTATATAACAAATCGGTAACTAAGAAAATTCTATATTTCACATACAGACGATACTGTCTACTAAAAGTAAATAACAATTATTTACATGTCTAATAAGTTCGGTTAATTTAACAAAAAAAAAACTTATGTCTGACACCAATGTAACAATTAAATTCTATCAAGTAATTCAAACCTACGGACTATTTGAACCTGGAATGAACGTGGCCATATTCGAATCTTAGCACATACATTTTTTTCTGTTATACGGAATTGTATACGTAGTTCAAAAGAAGCTTTATTGCTTTTATCAGTAAGTGAAAAAAATCATAAAATCGTATACAGCTTATGCGTTCTAAGCACATCATACATTCAAACTTATGCTTCAATTATTGGTCTTTTAAATTATAACTAGAAGTCAGTGAAACCAAAAAACGTACAGATGAAACAGTAGCTGAATGGGGTGCGTTAGTCAAAAACCTTGCATCCAAATGCAATTTCTTGTTAGAGTTGTCTACCGTCGTCTGTGACATTTACGTAGTGGGTATGGATCGAGAGAAAGTGCAAGCTCGACTACTGGAAGAAGATGCTTGTAGAGTAATCACAAAATTCATAAGCCTCTCAGAGATAGTTACTGCCAAAGAGGCTACTATAAAAGATAAAAATGATTAGGAGACGGACGAAGTCGATCAGAGGCAAGCGCGAAAGTTCAAACCAGCTAATATTCGGGCGAATTCCTTGTTTTGGGATATGGGGATGTATATATTATCGATTCAATGACTACAACTGAAACATCTGTAATCAAAAAGGACATTTTGCTCTAATATGCAAGGACGGTAAGAAAGCAAAAGTATTGTCGCAAACTAAATTTTTATCTGAAAATTCAATTGAAAGTATCCCGAGAATTATTATACGCTGAAGGCAGCTTTCCATAGATAGAAAAAAAAAAGAAAGACTTGCAATAATATTTGGTGAGCGAAAATTGTATGATAATTTGTATGGCAGGAAATTTGTATTAATAATTGATCATAATCCATTAATAATTATATTCGGGGACAAAAGTGTATTCCAATTTATGCAGGTAATCATTTACAACGATAGGCATACGTTCTCTCACCATTTGATTTCGATATTTAATATGTAAGTTCGGGCAAAAAATTTAACAGTCTACTTAAAATTTAACGACTAAAAATATAAAACATGGAACACGCCTTAGCCTGCTGGCTCCTGAACGTTGATCATTTCTGATCTACAATCTCTTGGCGATTTACGACGATAATATAGTCTTAGTTATATATTCAGGTCATACGTTTGCATGACGAGGACGACTCGTTATTATTTCGATGGCATCTTATATGTTATTATACGTTTAAAGTAGGCGCGTTACTTTCGTATTGAAATTTATTGTCGTTATGTTGTATCGTTTTGCGGCTGGAGGGCCAAAGTTAAAGCATGTTCAATGCTAAAACATAGCCGAATTTTTGGTAAAAATTAAATTGAGTGAGTCAAGCTGTAATAACTTAAATTATGAATAAAAAACTAAATAAAAATAGTTGTAACATTCAATCAAGTTATTACTTCTGTTTATAATTCACGAATGAATTTGTAATTACCTTTGGTCGTATCAGCAGGAATTGTAGGAACTGTAACAAAAATTTAAAATATTTATACAGTTAATCTAATCCGGTGTTTTTATTTATCTAAAACAGAAAAAATATAACATATCCAAAAACAGATAAATTTGACCAATTAATCAATTCAAAATATAGTATTAAGATTAAGTCAGTAGCTCGTATGGATTAGCAATCGTATTTATGTGATAAACAAAATATAGAAGAGGCCAATCTTTAATAGAGAAATTTCGTTTTGGTCGAATACCACGAAGTAAGAAATCATAAAGGAAAGATTTGCAGCTTCTAAAAATATCATAATAACCAAGGTGATGAGCCAAGAAAGGCGCACGAACTTTAGTTTGTAGAATTTAATGTTCCACAGACAAAGCAATACTAAAGAATACATAAATGTCGTCTACCTATGTGTATACATTTATGATATGATTCAACCAGCTCTTCAATAATATATCAAACAACAAGAAGAGTCAAAAGTATTTGTTAACATAAAACGTCAACAATCTATTACGTTAAAAAATGATATTTTGTGGTAAAATGTAAAAAATGATAAACGCTGTTCCAAAAATTACCCTAAATATAAAATTTGTTATAATTATTATGTTAGAAAGTCTCTCCAACTAAACTTTACCAGATTGTTTGTAATTAACTTTGTAATTACATTTGGTTGTATCAGCAGGAATAGGCGTTCCTATAAGACCTATTAAAGTTATTTGAACCCAGTTGTTATATTATCCATAACAGTCACTCCAAAAATAAAATTACTTACACCAACTAATCATTTAAGTGTTTTTAAAATTTACATAATTGTTAATAATGTGTATACAAAATAATGTGTATAGAAAATTTGATTGTTCAATCAAATCATATGTTGTTTTTACTATTAATGAATAACTTTGTGATTACTTTGTTTACTGTCATCGTCCACCGGAATACCTGTAAAAATAATTTAAAAAAATAATTTAGCTATTCAAACTCGGTTTGCTGTATTTATCCATAACAGTTTCAATTAATCAATGTCAAATATAGTGTTAATAATAATTAACTATTGAATAACTTCGTATTTACTTTTAAGTTTACCAGCAGCGATACCTGAAACAAGAATTTTAAACAATTTCACAGCTACTTAAACCAGGTTGTTATATTTATCTATAACAGTCACTCGAAAAATTAAATTTCGTAGACCAATAAGTCAATGCAAATTGCAAATAAATGTATTCCGTATACATTAAATTTGTTTGAAATACCAATAAAAGTACTAATCTAATATTTTTGTAGATTGTTTGCTTTCACGCTTAAAAAATTGTTTACTAAAAATATTCACCTATAATTTTGAATATTTTCGGTTGCAAAGTATATTTTTCTATCGATATGGCATCTAAATTTTAATATAAAATAAACTTATATTATATACATGTTTTCGTGTATTAAAAACCAAAATTTTAAATGTAATTCTTTGTGAAGCATTATAAATATTGAATTTGAAATACATAGAAGTAAGAACTGATCACCTTGTAGAAGGTTAAAGTTGTGAGTTTCTGAAAGTTCTGAAATTAAAGCGAGAACTTTGTATACTTAATGATTATCAAAAGACTGTGTAGAAATATTATTATGGAATTATTACCCGGTACAGTGAACATTTGGTTATAAACCTCTGAAATTAGCAATTCAAGAATTAATGGTATTGAATTTAATTTTCTATTCTATCATAAACTAAAGTAGAAAAGTTATGAAAAAAAAATATTATAATTAGTAATTCGAAACAAAATACTTAGCTATATTGTATTAAATACATATCAAACCTAATGATATAACAACGGCTTAATTTAATCACATGGAAGAGTAGAACAAGATCAAATAAGATTATTATCACTGAACATTAGCGTTAACCTTTTACTGTCCTGGACTTGCTATTATGCTTTAATCAACTAAAAAACTACGAAACCTTTTTCCAAGATGGCGATGGTTGGGACGTGTTGCAGTGTGTAAAACACAATGGCGGTGAAAGAGTTAAAGATACATTTTTGGTTTTTTTTTATATACATTACTTCTAAAACTAAGATTTTATTCTGTTATCACATAATTATTATTACTCATTTTATAGTGTTCTACATCTATCATGTTTGTAAGTACATTATCCAATCCCTCTAGAACAAACAAATAAAGGTTTGACCAATAGAAAAGTTACAAATAAAATCAAAATGAACATAAAAATCATTAAAAAAAATACACCATACGTTACCGACTACCCCTGTTGGGGTAAATAGTCAATTTTTAGAATCAGGTGGGCTCATAGTATTATATAGTAACTTTTAGAGAAGGCTCGTGCCTATGTGCGATAGTACACAGACTTAATCGAGAATATTAAACTACCACTTTAAGGAGATGGTACTCCGCTCATGTTTTAAGAAGTTGAGTGTTGGAAATTATTTACATTTTAACATAACAAAGTCAAAGTTCATAACTTTTAGGTGTTAAAGGTAACTTTTTTTTTTAAGTCATTTTTTGGAAACACTGTACCATGAAAGTAAACTTATATTTTTATACAGTAAGAATGCATGTGCGGCGTCCGCTTAAAGATTTAAAGAAATTTATATTTAATTTACAAATAATTTGACACTTAAGCAATTATTGCACAACAATTTTATACTAGTATATTAAAATGTTTCTTACCTCCGTTAGCGACTTTAGGGTCAGTAGCTTCTCGGAGTTGCGCGTCTGTAGTAAATGTTTTTAAAAAATAGGTATGTATAAAATTAGTAAAATTTAAGAAATAACAAAGTTAATCAGTATAATTATAAAATATTACTTACTTGAAATTTCAACCGACTCTATATAGTCCACTGTAAAGAAAAGTTAATTATGAAATTTTTATTAGAATTTTATCTACCTTGTGTGGGTAAGTATGAAAATAAAATACTTACTTATACTTATATCTGCCAAAACATATACGCAGATAAATGATAATAAAATACAGGAAATTTTCATTTTCATCTGGAAAGTGAAATCTTAAGATAATTCGAGTTCATTTCAATTACCTGGGTGGAATTTGTTTTAAATGTAATGTGTAGTTGAATCGGGTTTATTTTGGGATGGTTAGGTTAGATTAGGTTGATTTAAAAAAAATACAGGTTTCACATACAGTCAGTTAGATGTATTTATAAAAAACAGTACAGTGGGGTCGAGAAACAGTGGGTCACAGTTTTACAGAAATTTTTTATCTGAAAGTGATAAAATCACTTTCGAAAAACGTTTGGATGCAAATCAGTAGTTAGTATTTTCAAGCCAATACAGTCCAAACCAAGCACAGTATAAACCAGCAAAGTTAAAAAGTATTAAATTGAGTTGCTGTATTTACAAATAAGCATCAAAGCGTTTATTGGAAAGTGATTTTATTCAATTTTATCACTTTTCTTTATAATTATTCCTGTAGACCTATAACCTACCTGTCCCCACTTTGCCCCTACCCCACTGTACTGGTTTTTTTTTAAGATTTCAGGTATTTTTGTTAAAATACGCAATCTGCGAAAACACAGTTTTCCGGCAATTAAAAAAAAAACTGTAGTGCCGAATTTGTTTTCCATTTAATATGTTATGAATACATATTAGTTCTAACTACTGACAAAGTTTCAACTTAAAGGTCCTAAAATTACGGCTAAAAAACTATAAAAACAAAAAAAATTGAACCCCTTCTAGGGGGTTGGGAAACGGATTTAATTAAAATTTGATACAAGTGACGTTTGCTGGCATACCAAATAAATATCCCTTATACATTTCAATTCGATCTAACTCGTATTCTCAAAATTATAGCCAGAAAAATTTCTAACTTAAAAACTCGTACGGATTTTTTTGTTTTTTCGAATTTCGTCTGTGAAGAAGTAAACTTTTTCAACTTTTACCCCCCCCCCTGCCCCTAAAGTACTGTAACGGTGCAACACAACATCTAAAACGGCCTTTCTCAAGGCTACCAACGATCCGTACCGAATAGTAAACACAACTACCGAAAAACCACTAACAAAACATCGGCAAATGGGATTGCGGGGTTTTTATGAGAACAGCATAAATACCGACCGCAATCCCATAATCAGTACAGTCTTCTTCCAACCATCCGGGTATCTTATACACTGGATCAGTTGGAAGCCGACACCTATACTATCAACCGCCAGCGTCTACCAGCAGTAGCAAGCGACACCAGCAGTAACCACAGCGGCCCCAGCAGCAGCAGAACCGACAGAAGCGGCACCCGTAGCCGACGTGCCGACAGCTCCCACGGCTCCACCGACGATTCCACATCGAAGGCCGTCCTTCTTAAAATACAGAGTCACATATTAAAGTTGCGCTCTCCTCCCGGTGACTAGAGTCCGTAGGCGCTTATTCAAGCTGCCCTACCTTCCTCCTAGTCATCCCAACACATCCCCCACACGTCTGTATCCCCGGTAGGACAATATAGTACTATAACTGTGAGGTACATAGTGCCCGTTTCCCCAGCGTGAGAGGCGAACTTATGCGAGTCCCGCCCTCACCGTTACTTATTGTATTACCTAAAACCTCTGAATAATAAAGAAAAACCGTAATATCAAGCATCCGTTTTATTATTCAACACACGACACGGCGAGGCACCCGCCACCCGTATCAGTACCAACAAATGAAATTTGCGCTTTATAGAGTTGCTATTACAAGGAATTGATCCAGTATTAAAAAAATTACAGTGTATACAGGCTAAAAATAAACGCCAACATTTTTATGATATTATCAAAACTGAAAAATGTTTTGGACGAAAAAGTCCTTAGATAATGAATTATATATATATATTTTTTTATTTTTAATTTTAAGACTAATTAAAAGTACAAGATGAAAAATAGGTTGAACTTGAGTTGTATTTTAAAGATACAAAATCAAATATTTAATTACAATTTTGCATCATGGAAGTGCATTTAAAATTTAATATATGTATACGTTGTTATTTTATTTACAAAGCTGTTTTTAGCATTAATGCTGAGCTAGTATTCCTATTATGTGTGTTTTTTTTGTATATGGTAACACTATAACATGTTTTACTATGGCCCGATTTACTTTAGATATGTCGAATTGCCTATATGATGTCGACCAATACAATGCAATGTAAATATGTTTTTGTGAATTTAGTAATATACGCAACATTCGGTCGTTTTGACTAACATATTTCCATTGTTCCTAAGCGTAATTTAAACGTTTTACTAACCAGTTATTGAATTTACAAAAACAAAAGCCATCGTTGAAGCGGTGGGACATATCAGAAACGGAGAGTATTAGGTATGAATCACTATATTTTCAACACATTTTTCTTATAAACATGTTATTTGTTTTTATAGGTTACTCCGATAATAACAATACTACAAATATGTATACATACAGGGTGTTTTTTTTATCATAGGCCACTCAATGTCTCATAGGTTTATATAAGAAATTACATTTTTTTTTTATGTCATTTTTATACATTGTACCTTATCTCAATTTTTCACAATTTTTTTGTTTCGACCTCATCCTTACTTAGTTTTCTTTAAAGCGGCTTTTTAAACTTAAATGGTAACGCATATATTCCATAAGCTTTTTAAATTTAGAAAACGTTCAAAAATTTTGATTGGTTGATAACCAGTTTTGGACAAGTATTTTTAAAGTGATGAAAGTTTAGAAAACAGGGTGGAAAAACAGGAGGGTTGGGGAAAATTCGGGGAGTTAAAAAAATTCTACACTCCACATTTCCTCATGCACTGATAAAAAAAAATCTGTATAGAATAAACATTAGCTAACTTGTATGTATATATAGTTATGCGAACTTTGCATCAACATGCTTTTATGTGATTACGAACAATAAATCACAAGCACCCATGTTAACTAAGTGATACAGTGTGTACAATATGTGTCTTACATAAGATGGATCACCCGGTATAATGTTTATTTAAAGTATGTACGGTATGGATAAAAAACTTTTATCATAAACAATACAAGAAAAAACTACGAACAATGTTTTTTTTAAATTTTAAATTACGACTACGTTCTACTTCTACCTACATTTTGGTTGTCCATATTTCGGCAATACAGTAAAATAAAAACATATTTTGCAGCGTTGTTAGTTTATTTACAAAGCTGTTTTTTTAGCATCGATGCCGAGCTAGTAGAATTCCTATGATGTGTGTTTTTTTGTATCTGCTAACACAATACTATGTTTTACTATGGCCCGATTTACGTTAGATATCCGAAATTATATGTGATTTAGTGACTTTGGTGAGTCAAAAGTAGAAAAAGTCAACTTCTTCACCACAAAAACGGAAAACAACTATAAAAAAAAGTTGTCAGTTTTTCAACTTTCTATAACTAAAACTGTTGAATCGAGTCAAAATTGTAAAGAATGTCTTCAGCCATGCCCCTATACTCAAATAACCTCAAATCTAAATTTTAATGTTTCTACGCTTCTCCGCGTGATTTAATTTTTTATAATTGGTATTTGATATGAAAATTTATTTAAAATAAAATTTTGATTATATTACTTACTTATGACCTTGGTGTATAGTGAAATAGGACTAGTGGATTAAATGTTATCGAAGGTCTATGTGCTGAAAAAATATGAAAATCAGAGAAATATATTGAAAGTGTACTATTAGTTTTTGAAGTTTTGATAATATTACTTACTTAAACAAATTCAATGTTAGTTAAACCGACTGCTTCAAAGGTTTTTTTACAATTGTCGAATAGCATCTGTTATGTCGACTGAAACATTACAATGTAAATATGTTTTTCAGAATAATTGTTTTTGCGAATACTATTAACATAAGCAACATATTCATTTTTCTTTTTGACTAACATATTTATATTATTCGGAAGCCGAGTTTAAATTTTTACTAACCAGTTATTGAAATTACAAAAACAAAAGCAATCGTTGAGGCGGTGGGGCATACGGACATGGGGAGTATTAGGTATGTTTCATTTAGTTTCATTACATTTTTTTATAAACATGTTATTTGATATTGTAGGTTTCTGCGATAATGACAATACTACAAATATGTGTACATACAGGGTGATTTTTTTATCATAGACCACTTGATAACTCATAGGATCGGCCATATCCACATCACTCCATGTTTGCGCGACTTCACAATAACTTGGTATTTGCGGGTAGTTTTATTTTGCCAAATGTAAATAGACAAAAAAGTCAAACTAATGTTGACAATACGAATAGCAGTATTAGCTGCCCTTAGTGGACAGCCTACAATATAACTGAGAGCCGTTTCAGTTACCTACTAAAAAATATATATGAAAAGTGAAACATCAGTGATTTAATATTTTAATTAAGGAAATGTTAGGGGATAAATTACTCATCTGTACAGCGTATAGCGAAACAAAATAAGTTTCTTGCTTACAGATACACTTCTGTTCAGCACTTGCGGTTTAGTGATTTTGAACGTCGTCTTGAGTATGTTGCCAAAATAATTATTAAATTGAAAGAAGAACCGTCATTTTTGTTAAATATATTGTGGACCGATGAGGCGAAGTTTTATAATAATGGTACTGTTAATTCACACAACAGACATTTCTGGAGCGATACGAACCCTCACTGTATTTCGCAAAATAAAACTCAAGTGCGTTGAAGTGTCAATTGTGTGGTGTGGGCTCATTGACTGTCATATAATTGATCCTTATTTTTATCAAGGTAGTCTTAATGCTAGGAAATATCTAGAGCTTTTGAAAAATGATTTACCATCACTTTTGGAAAATTTACCGCTAGAAGCGGCTAAATATATTTTGGCAACAGGACGGAGCTCCAGCCCATAGTGCGAAAACTGTGCAAAACTACTTATCTAATACATTTGGTAGTCGATGGATGGGTACGAAGAGCGAAGGTGTACCAGATCACCTGATTTAACAGTCATGGATTTTTATTTTTGGGGCTTCCTAAAGAACGAGGTTTATAAAACCCCCATAGTTGATGTAGACACTTTAAAAATAGAATAAAACATATATGCTCATATGTACCGGACACGATTTTGAAAAAGGTAACAACTGATGAAATAAAAAAATGGTTATCACTTTGTTTGGATACGAATTGACAACATTTTGAGCATTAATTACAAAAATGAATAAATAAACTTTTATTTTTTGTGCTGAAAAATCGTATTGTTGACTTAATTTTCACATAGTTGAACTAATAAAATCTGTGATAACAATTATGCACAATCATTGGCGGCTACAGCTACAATCTGTAATAATTCGGCAATGTGTTTATAAAAAAAAAAAAAATAGTCAAAAATATATGTTATAAGGCTGTTGCGTGAGTACCACGGTTATGGTCGCTGTGGTTAAATCACTATGCCACAGATTTGATACCAGTTTATTTATGGTCAACCGTTTCATCCCCCAGTATGTTTGAATAGTTAGATTAAAACTGCTTATCTGCCGTCTGGTTTTTGACGGTTATCGGATAATACGAGCATAAATATTGGTTGGCTACTGGTTTTCGATACACCTCAGAAATAAGGCATTAATTAAGAGAAATATAATATCTTTACTAAGTCATAGCAAACGAACTGATAAATGAAAATGAAAAATTCAAACGCTAATATTTTATTTTATTTTTTCCATACTAATATATGGAATTAAATATAGGTGTTTCCATTTAAAAATAACACATTTATATATTTTTTTACGAATAAGGGATGTAAAAATGTAGTACAATATGTACCTAAAAGTATTGGAAACAAATATTGTTTAAAATATTTATATCTTCCGAGAAAATGAGTGTCTTATCCTTAATTAATTACCCTGTACAGTTTGGCGAGAGCTTACTATCCTCTCCCTCTTAGGTAACAAATCTAGGTCATGAATAGTCTACTTTCGGTAAAAATAAAACCATAGGTACGCAATAATAATAATAATAAACCACAACAAATATGTTTCAAATCGTGAGTTTATTTTAGAATTTATTTATTTTATTTTGCATATGACAAACAGCTGATGATTATAAAGATAATAATAATAATTAAACAACAATACCACATAACAATAACAATAAATAAATACATGCAATATAAAATAAGTTAGTGCAATGGGAAAAATGTATTTATTTATTATTTAAACTTAAGTGGAATACTTAAATTATCTCGTAGTTGTGCAGTTAGTGTTTCCATTCGACCATCAATGTCCTTTGCTTTTACTTGGTGATATATGCATTTAAATGGTCTGTATTTTACAATATTACTAACTTTATCCCCTAATAGTAATTGTACTTCACAAACATCACCAGTGTTTAAAAGAGACGTGTTTGAAGTCATTTTTAGACTAACCCATATTCCAATCAAAACACAAATATTTTGAACAGGATACTTCTGGCCACCCGAGATAAACTCATCTAAAAAATAAAAAAACAGTTGTTAAAAATTGACATATTTAACTTGTCAGCTATCATTTTTTCTTTTTTGTGCAAGACACAATTGAAGGGTTCAGTGGATAAAGGTGTTAACTGACATTTTTGAAATTTTTCATGAACGCGACTTTTGTAACTAAATATTAAACGAAAGCTATGAAACTTTTGTATATTCAATAAATGAAATAACTTATAAGAGGAAAACTATCGGTCTAGAGATACTCTATACTATACTATGACACTATAACCCTTTTATTTATGCAATAAAATGCATTTTCGAAAAAAATGTTAGTTAATACCTTTATCCATTGACCCCTTCAAATACTAAATGTAATTAATACAAGTTATACAATTATTTATATAATATGTATCATTGAAAAAATGTCAGCTTCCTGAAAAAAATTGTGTATTTTATTTTTTTTTTTTTTTAGTAATAGAGTCATTAAAAATGAGTTTATAATTTATAAATTTGTTTTTTTTTGAGTTGACCAAAATTTAAGAATTTTTTTTAGAAAGTTGAAAAATGTTACATAAAATATCTAAAATTAATACGGGGACCCCTAAACACGCTTAGAAAACCCAAAAAACGAGGTGAAAATTCATGGAAACGTCGAAAAACGGGAAAAAGCGACCACAGTAATCAAAATAATTGAAATAATTATGAATACAAATAGGGTAATTTTCCGTTTAAGATCATTTTGAGTGATCGATAACTCTTTAGGATAGTTCTTTTCAAAGTTATTAACATAACGGAAGGGAACAAAAATTAATTATAAACTAATTATCCAAAACTAGTTCTCGACTCGTAACTTTAAGCAACTTATTCTAGCTGTTAGAGCTTTTCAAAAACATTTAAATGTTATATTAAATATTATGTATGTTAATGTAAATATTATAAAATAACAAAAACTAAAGTGTCTCAAAAAAGAAAAACCAAAAATGTTTAATAAGTTAACAAATATTGGTCGTGTTAAGTAGCCTATAAACTATGCAGTTATCAATAATGATTCATGCTATAAAAAATATATGTCGTTAAAAGCATCAATACTCAATATTTATAATCACCTAGTTTTTGGGTAAGTACATTTATTATAACATTTCCAGTAATATCTCTTCTCGCCTTTCCAAGTTCTTTCAGACGTGAAGTTTCAATACCTGTATAAATGTATGTATGAATAACTCGTTTGAAAATAAAATATTTATTTATATATTCGTAAGTACAAATAGAGTGGGAAGGAACGAAAAAATATATGGTAATTTGAATATAAGGAGCATTAATGAAGCCTAAAAGGGTGAACAAATAAAATAGAGTACAGCGTTTTTCCGATGATCAGCTAAGGTAAAGAAGCTATGTTATGAAAAGTGCGGACAGTGATGTAGTCGTGAGAGGATGCAGTATTTTTAGTAAAAGTGCGATATAGGCAAAAATGTATTCTGTATTCGCTCAATTCTTATCTAGTCCTTTGTTTAAAATAGTGTTAAATTAATACTCCATTCTAGAACCCTTAAAATAAGTCTTCCCAACTTAAAGTCAATTGTTGTGTGAATAAAAAAATATACGAAGCAAATTTTATTTTTCAAACAAGCCATAATTTTCTTTTTACTACTAACGAGTAGCTGTGTATGTTCTTTTGTATTGGGCATCAGGTGCTGGATAAAAACCTGTAACAAAAAAACATATAAATGATGTAGTTAATCGAACCTGTTGGATATATTTATTGTAATTACTGTGTAAACAAAAAATATATAAAGAAAATGTTATCGTTCAACCAAGCCATAAAATCCATTTATAACTAACGAATAAATTTGTAACTACTTGTGCTCTGCCCTGCTAACGGGAAAGGCAGTAACTACAAAAATCAAGTTTTCGGGAAAATGAACTTTTGTATTTATATTGTTTTTGTAATTAGTTTAAGACTGTAAGTATACCTTTTGAATGAAACAGATGGAAATTTATGTCAGAAATTCAAAGATACTATACATTTTGTGATTAATACATTATTCCTGAAATTTGTCACATAATAACACAGTTACTGCCTTTTACTTTAGCATTATCTACATAATATCATATGGCGTTACAAATATTAAATGCAGTATCATAAATATCATAATATACCACTATTTGTAGAAAATGCAGTAACTACAGTAATTAATTAGTACAAATAAAAAACACTTACAAGTCATTAATTAAAATACTTTTTGTCTTATAAATTATCACATAATTTTGTTATATTAAATTATCATAATAATAGTAATGTAATGAGTACCTAACTATAAGTTTTAAACAATGAACAATATACAAAAAAAAAATTAAAAACAAATCACAGTACTTAAAACCTAAT